TTTCCCACATATATGATTAAGAGAAGAATGTAAGAAAATTTTGAAAAACTTGGCTTTGAATAGTGCAAATGAAACTTCCACGGTATTTCAATTAACAAATGTGAAATTGCTTATAATGATTTAAGTTAATTAATTAATTAAAGTTTCTTATATTAAATTTAGTTTATTGCTTCCATGCGCCGGCTTTCAACTAAATATTATAAATTAACTTGCTTACAGTGGTTTAAGTTAATTAATTACAACATCTCAAGTTGCCTATATTAAATAATTATTTCCCACATATATGATTAAGAGAAGAATGTAAGAAAATTTTGAAAAACTTGGCTTTGAATAGTGCAAATGAAACTTCCACGGGATTTCAATTAACAAATGTGAAATTGCTTATAATGATTTAAGTTAATTAATTAATTAAAGTTTCTTATATTAAATTTAGTTTATTGCTTCCATGCACCGGCCTTCAACTAAATATTATAAATTAACTTGCTTACAGTGGTTTAAGTTAATTAATTACAACATCTCAAGTTGCCTATATTAAATAATCTATTGCATTCTCGAGAGAATTTTTCTCATCTCTAGGCAGCCAACCTGTGATATCAGTGAAGATAATCAATTCATCTTAAAAACTCAAATTTTTATGTTCCCAATGGACACAGGTACCATTTTCTTCAAGTAAAAACTTTATCCCCTATTTGTTTTCCATTATTTGTCCATTAAAATTAAAAAATATAACCGTTATTCATAATACCAAGCCACCATATTTGACTTTCTATTTCTTGTTTGGGACTCGTAACGACTATATTTTTCATGTTCATTCTTACATTAACATGGCTCAAACGGGGCTTAATATCTTTGTTATGAAGGTAGATGTTTAAGAAATAAACAAGAATGGAAAACAAATAATAGTAAAAGAGAAAGCAAAGCTCATCTAGCCTCCAATAGTAGCCATATAATGAATTTTGCTTTCAGTTTTGACTAATTTATAGTATTTTCATGTTTCGATCCTGTCCCTCTCTAATTTTAATTCAACTTGCTTGGCGTCAATTCTACATCTATGTCTATATATTTTTTAACCATGCTATATGTACAACTATTGTTAACAACTTTTGTTGACAATCATGAGTTGGTTAAATTTACATCATCCATTTTAAAAAATTGTTTTTTAAATCAATCAAACATATTTTGACAATACATAGATTAGATATGCTACATGTACAGATTCATTTTGTCAGAATGATGTCATATTCATACTTGGTAGGATTTCATTGACAGTTATGTCAAAAATATTTTTTAACCATCCAATCACAAATTGTCAAGTATGAATCTGGCACCAATCTGACAAAATGAATCCGTACAAATAGCATAACCTACATAGATTATCAACAAAAGTTATCAATAATCATTGAACAAATAGCTTTATTCTATAATTTTCTGTGCCCCTTGCGATCATAGGGCATGTGGACAGAAAACAAGACATTCTTGTATATGATTGGGAATTCAAATAGAAATAGTAATGATAAGTAAAAAAACGCATCATTCTTATAAAAATTTAGGTTTTAATTTAATTTCAATCTATTTGGCTAAAATTAAGTACAGACAATAGATGGTTGAATTCAAGTAACAATGATTCTAATTAAGTCATAACAATGCCTATTATGACCAAGTGATTTCGAATTTGAATCTGTGCGTAGTATCCGTTGCAATCCTCAATTTTGATAATTAGTTAAGATGACAATCAATAATCTTAAACTATCTAACAATTTTTCTCGGGTGAAGTTAAACATATATTTCCATACGATCAAAATTATTTCTATTTCGAATTCGAATATGTAAAAGTATATTTAACAATAAGATTATTCAATTTGATTGCACAGCATAGACAATTTGGTTGCCAATCACGAGCTATACACTTACTTTGAACCTCCTAAAAACGAGCTGTCACAAACATGTCTAAAAGTTTATCATCCATTTCAAATGATAACTAAGACATTCTTCTCCTTCCTCACTACTTTGCTCGCTCGCTAGCTCGTTCGTTCGTTCGTTCGTTCTTGCGCTCCCCCCCCCCTCCTCCCCACCCCCTCGTGTTGGGGCTCAGATGTCAAATCAAAATAAAAGAAATCACAATGCATAAGATGTGAGTTCCTCCACTAAAATTGCAAATTGAACCCTTATTTGTATATAAAACACTTACCATTTTCTTCTATAATTGCTGAATAGCCCCTTGGAAGGCCACTAATTTGTGATATATTTATATATTATTTTAACTTTTGACTTAACAAAATGGATTGAAATATATAAGATATATAGCCTCAAAAATTAAGTATAAATCATGATAAAGTTGAATCTAATTTTCACGATCGTAGTCTTTAAAGGTTTCCAAAATCAAGCCCTTAATTTTTGCTTTCGATTCAATAAGATTCCTGTCTTCTTCTCTCGTTTCAGCTTGAGCCTTTTTTAATTGCCTTTTTAGTTCTTCATTTTATTTTTTGTACAATTAAATCCTTCACATTCCAAAATCATTAAATATTGATTTGATGCAAGTTTAAAAGTTTGTAATTTAGTATTCAAACTTATCAATTGTTAAATTTAACTCATAAAAGTTATGAATTTCTTCTCAGTGCTCTGTATACTCTTCTAATTGATCATGTGCAGTCCGATTAATCTTAAATTTCCCCAAATCAAATCCATTTCACACAAAGATAAGAGTGCTAAGAAATGAAATACACGCGAAAGACCTACTTTTCACACAAAAAGCATGTAAAATCTCTAAAGATCCTTGAAGCTGGAAAGGTCATTTCTATCTATTTGAACAAGAGCATGTATCTAGTGAGGAAGGTCGAAAGGTCCATACTTCTGATAATGATGATAGTTTCAACTATCAAATGCAAGTGAATCGATAACCTGATTTTGCTCTTGATACATGTAGGTAACTAAATCTCGATCAAAAGAGATGATGTCTGTTGCGCTTGAGAATATTTTGGAAAGTCCATGGTCCTTCACCTTGAGCGATGCAGCAAACGGTGAAGTTCGAGTGTGTTTCTACTCAAAGATCTGATAACCCAAGTTGTCTAGCAAATAAAATTAAAAATTTTATAGCATGTGTCTTCACACATAATTTTACCAAATTATAAAGAACATAACTATACAATATTGTAATCTTGCCAAAATTCAATTAAAAAACAGGAACTTGCACATGATGTGCTGTAGGTTTTATTGCTTTCCTATGTGAAGTTATCTTGTTGCCTAAAATCCTTTTTATATCAAAGTTGCCTCAATCCTTTTCATATTGAGATCTCAAAGTTGCCTTAAATCCTTTTGAGAGATTGCCTAAACTCCTCCATTGAGATGGCTTATGCATCTCTACTTTCACTTGCTTAAACACTAGAGCAGATCCAACATCCTCAGGATCAATCTCTAAATGTTCATCATACAGAGCAACAGATCATGAGATCTCTCAATGAAAAGGTTAATTTCTTTGTGGATTTTCTGGATGTTATTTCACCAAAAAGTAGTGAGAATATTAGTGATTTGGAAGGAAGAATCAGAGATGCAGCGTATGAAGCGGAAGATATATTTGAATCCAGTATGTCGAATCAGATTGACTCAAAATGGGAGCAGAAATACGAAGGCTTGCAGAAGGTAATAGAAGAACTCGCTACCATTTCAGAAGATTTGGTAAAGATGATGGAAAGGAACGACTTAGAAATTGTGAAATCAAGGAACACCTTTCATCCTGCTCGATCCAGTAATAAGATTGCTATTGTAGGAATTAAAGACGAGATTTTGAAGATTAAGGATCTGCTGATTGGTCCGAAATCAGAACTCTGTATCATCTCAGTTGTTGGGAGGCAAGGCCTTGGCAAGACTACACCGGCAAAAATAATTTATAATGACTCGGATATTGCCTCTCACTTCGATATTCGTGCATGGGCAACGGTATCAAGAATGTACTATGAACAAGTACTCAGTCATCTTCTGCATTCCATAAGAGGCCTCAATCAAGAATCAAGCCAAGAGAGCGCAGAAAAATTAGCTGAGAATCTATATAAATTTTTGAAGAACAAGAGATGCCTCATTGTCCTGGACGATTTTTGGGATAGACAGATTGTGTTGAAAGTCAAAAGTTGGTTTCCACATGATAGTAATGGAAGCCGAATTTTGTTGACCAGTGAATGGGAATCTGCGGCCATGTATGATGATCCTAAATGCTACATTCATAAGATGAGAAATCCAACTGAAGATGAATACTGGCCTCTGCTGCGAAATTTGGTGTTTGATAAAGAAAGATGTCCTCATGAATTGGTCGAAATCGGAACGATGATTGCAATGAAATGCAGAGGACTTCCATTTTTACTTACGTTGATCGGTGGTGTCCTGTACAAATCCGAGAGGACACAAAGTTACTGGAGGTATGTTGAACAACAAACCCAGATTGCATTTTCCAACTCACTAATGGACTTTGTATTTTTCTGTTATTATCAATTGCCCCATCATTTGAGAGCATGTTTTCTTTATATGGGTGTTTTCCCTGAAGATTATGAGATCCGTAGATCCAAACTCATCAAGTTATGGGTTGCCAATAGGTTTATAAAGCCAGATAGATCGAAAAGCTTGGAAGAAATGGCAGAGGATTATCTAAAAGATCTTATCGATAGAAATCTGATTATGGTTCGTGAGTGGAGTTATAGAGGTGAAATCAAAACCTGCAGCATCCATGGTATCTTGAGGCTCTTCTGCCAGCTGAGAACTAGGGACATTTTCTGTCCTGATTTTGAGAATCTTCCAGATGTCCATGTCAATCTTCGTCACCTTAGTATTCTCAGAGAAGTGAAGAATCAAATCCCCAAATTCAATCTTGCATTCAATCTTGATTTGCGTATCCGCTCTGTTACATATTTTCGCAATAGGCTGTATGATATACATTTTCTCAAGAGTTTTCGGCTGCTGAGGATATTGGATGCACTCACAATATGGTTTGACGAGTTTCCTATCGAAATAGTAGAACTGGAGACTTTGAGGTTTTTTCTTTGACCTATTGGGCAAAGCATAGGATTCCTCCGTCAATATCCAAACTTAGCAATCTGGAGACTTTAATTGTTAATCCAGGGAAACTGAGATCCATCTTTAATACATCATTTCTACCACCCGAAATCTGGAAGATGTCACGATTGAGGCATCTCTTGTTCGTGAGAAGTTTCTTGCCTTATCCTACAGATGCACTAAATGGGGGAACTTTTGTGTCCTTGGAAAACCTACAAACACTTACCAACGTAATGAACTGCAGGTGGACAAAGGAGGTCATTCAAATGATGCCAAACCTTAAGAAATTGGTAATTTCATACGAACATGACGGGCAAACTGAGTGGTCATCCTATTGTTTTGAAAATTTTGTCCATCTTCTTCAACTTGAAGTTTTGAAATGCTTCTTTTTTGGGAAGTCTTATATAAAATATCAGGATCCTCTACTGGTGAACTTTGCTTTCCCACAAAACCTCAAAAGATTAACTTTGAGTGGCTGCAGAATATCCTGGAAAAATATGGCTATTGTTGGTTCCTTGTCCTATCTTGAAGTGTTGAAACTCAAATACCATGCCTTCGAAGGCCCGGTTTGGGAATCAAAAAATGGGGAATTTCCTCGATTAAAATTGCTGCTCATATACATGACTGATCTTGAGCACTGGAAAGTTGATGAAATGCACTTCCCAAGCCTTGAGCACCTTAGTCTTAAGTACTGTTACAACCTGGTGGAGATCCCTTCTGGAATTGGGAAAATTCGAACTCTTCGGAAAATGGAGTTGTGCGAATGTAGCACATCTGTTGTGACTTCAGCAGAGGTCATAAAAGAAGAACAAATGCGCTTGGGAAACAATGATTTTCAGGTTCTCTCCTCCTGAGTCTAAGCCTTTAACCTTCTCTTCAATGTTGTAATTGAGCATAGTATAATAGCGTAATTGGAAATCTACTTCATATACTATTGCTACAGCCTTGCAAAGGCTACTTACTTTCCCTAAGTATATTCATAGTTGAGTTTCAGATTCTTCCAACTTCGCTCTCAAGGGCGGGCTTGTAGACTATTGAATTCCAACTTCGAGCCCCCACCCATGGTAATGAGTTACGGGGAGCTAGTTCTATCACTTCTGCCCAACTACAGGTTGTTTTTTGCTTTGCTTTTTTGGGTCCTCCCCCACAAACCGAGAAAAAGGCTGAAAACGATATTCACTTTCTAGAGTCATGAGCTATCGAGAAAATTACAATAAGTAAAACAGAAATTTTTAACGAACTGGATTTTCCATGTGGATAATTTTCTCGTTAAATTGCAGAGTTTCTAGTCAAAATTTGGGAGAATATCAAGATAGATTCTTGAAATTACAAGACTAAAAAGAATATAAGTTGGGTGTAACATATTTTGGGTTGAATATTACGATACCAATTAGCGATAGATTTTTCTTGACATTAATTAGTCATACATCTAACATCTTTATGCTAATATTGTAAATGTTTGAAGTTTCACCAATCGATTGTGCTGAAAGACAAAGATACCGATGTTTTCAACTAATAAAGGAGAAGAGAAGATTAAGTTGCAATGTTATTTCAAGTGTTTTATTGAGTTTATGTTGTTGTTATTGTACCTTATTGACACATTTGGATGTCAAAATAAATGTATATTGGACACGTATTTTTGAAGTATTTCATAGTATTTTGATTACAATCAGCAGAAATATGTTATTGAACGCTCCGCCCATCGATCCAAAAACAAAATCCGTCATTGAAACAGAAAATCCAAATGCAGGAAGTATTGGTTTTAAAAAGTTCAATAATCAATAGAAATTACAAGTCAAAATATTTAAATGTAGCATTTTGAGAATCTAATTAAATTAGTAAATAGGATTACATAACCCTTGCTTTTTCTTTGATTCTACAATCAATTAAACAAGAAACATCAGTCAATAATTGCTTTAAACGACTCAATCCTTGGATCAAACACACTGCATCCAACCAATCAATTTTTCCCAGTGTCCAACAGCAACTATGCTAACAGATACAATCCTCACATGAATCGGCTTAAACTAGGTCTATGGGTACTAAACACACAATACACTCTTTGGTGTGTGTCTCACGACCGAGTCATTGGCCCTTCTTCGACAATCAACGGATCTTTGCCCGAACTAGTATTCATTGTCTTCATTCCATGGATCACATCAATGAGGAATTTAGAATGAAAATTTCTCCTCGCGGCTTGAGAGATAAAAACTAGCAAGTGGTTTCATTCATTGCCTCCGTGGGCAACTTTACTACATAAGTCGAATTGGTTTAGAAGTACTTTCCTCCATCCGAGTTTGCCAAGCCCAAACATGACGTCTCCGCTAGACAGAAATTTTCCAAGAAGGTTGGGAAAGGTTCAAAGAACTCCTAAGGAAGTGACGAGCAATACATTTTCACTATTTTGATTGACGTGAAGTCCAATCCAATGCTTTAGCAACATACAAAGAAGAAGCACGGTTCCTTATACAATATTGAGTTTTACTGGACACCAATATAACCACAAGTTTAAATGATTTTACAATGAAAATTTTATCTTTGTAGATGACGCAAGAGTCAAGTACAATGAGAGGCTAATACTCCAATTTATTAGCAATAAATGAAGTTCAAGTGTTAGATGAAAAAGCTTTGATGAAAATATTATTTTCAAAAGATAAATCAATCAAAGATTTTCAAAGTAATTGTTTGATGAAATAAATAAGACACGAGGTCAAGAGATATACTCAATAGTTTTTCATTTTTAATGCTTTCAAAGAATGTTGTTATGAATGCAAAAGTTAAAAGTATTTTATAGAGTTCAAAGAGAAAAGTAAACCGAGCAAACGAACAAGCAATTGGATGTACGAAAACAACTGTTGTACCTCAAAAATCAGAATAGTAAA